GAAGATAAAGATATAGATATTGATGATACTACAATAACTAAAAAACAACAACATTAACAATAACAACAACAACAACAATAGTAACAAGAGCAACAGAAGTAGCAACAATCTCAACAAAATTAACCTTTAATTTCTAATACTAAAACTAAAGTCAATTAAACATTTGACTAGTTAAGCAACTTTCCTATTACAACTGAAATAGAAACTAACACTAAATTACAAACTCAATTATTCAGAGACCTGTTCAATTTTCTTAAACAACATCTTTTGATTTTTATCCAAAAAAGAAAATTAAATCTGCTACTAAAAACAAAAAAGCTCTTACAGCTAGCTTCTATTATATTATTTATCAAATGACTAAAGCCAAACCCAAATTTCTCTCTGATATTTTCTTTAAATTTAATCCTAAAATTGACCAAGAAGCTACAATTCTTTTTGATGTTCTTGAAGAAGTCTTAAAAAACTTATTCTAAAATTTACTACTATTTTATACATCAAACTTAATTACCTTGAAATTTTTGCATCTTCTGTTACTGTTTTTTTATATAAAACCCAAAACTGATTACAATTCTGTATTAATCTTGTCAGAATACATTTGTATCTTTCTGACAATTACCAAGCTATTAACTATATAAAATTTGCAGAAGACATCAAACTAAGACCCAAAAGATTTACTGTTAGCTTATCTGTAACAGGAACAGATAAAGAAACCAAATACCTAACAATTAAAATAGACAACAGATTTAATATTCACCTTCTTTTTAATATCTCTAAAACTTTTTTTTTGAAAAATATAACATTTCATCTCTTAGCAACTCTTTAGATTATTTTAATAAATGATTTAAAAATTTTTTCTTTTTATATAATTATCAATTTAATAAACCTCTTAATGAAACCAAAGTCAAAAATGCATTAAGATTTTAATTCTGACAACAATTTATTAAACATCTTAAAGAACTCCTTCTTGATGAAATTCTTTTTACAGAACCTCATAACCTTTAAAAATATCTAATAAAGCTATTTGACATACCAATTATCACATCTATACCTGTACTGATCCAGACTGCATACATCTTGATAAAACCAAACTTAAAGCAAATGAAAAAGTAAAAGAAATCATACCTAATACTAACTATTTAGACTATTAATATTTACACAACTACAATAGGCTTCTTAAAGAAACAATTAACAAATCCTATTTAGAATACCCCAAAACAGAAAGTGAAATTTGGAAACAACTTAAAATTAACTTCTCAATCTTTTACATTAATGGTAAACATAAAGCTACCTTTAAAAAACAAATAACTACATAACTTCTTGATGATCTTAACACAAAAACTAAAGAATTTATTTGCTAAAATAATTCAACTAAGCAAATCCTAAATGAAAAAGCTATTACTTTTATCTATATCTTAAAACCTACCAAGATACAGCTACACAAAATAATAACCTTGACCAACTTAGTCAACAGCAAGCTATTGACTTTCTTACAACCAAAATTATTAATACAAATTTCTTGGCTTGGGTTATTACTTACTTTAATACTAGTTACACTTCTATGAATTTTCCAAAAATTGTTAAACACAATTAAAAAAAGGCATATCCAGAGGCAGAAAAAACTTAACAAACTAAATTCAACTTATACTTTCAAGAACCAACAAACTTGAAAGATTCACTCTTTCTTACAGATACTCCTTTTCAATAAATTCCTCTATAGATCACATTAATGCAGTCACCACCTTTAAGATTATGATGTTCTCTACTTCTAGTAAGCTATTCTTTAAGAAGAATGATGTAAGTAAACAGGTACTAAAGTCTATTTATACAGAAAACCAAGTTTATTATGGCCAGACTCAATATACAGAGCAGGAATGGCATTTTTTGCAGCTGTGAGAACTGAGCATATGGTAAGTGAATTTACAGAAGAACCCTTTACCTTTTTAAATCCTATTGCATTATCTCACTTCAAGAAAACATCACAAGACACATTATACACTACTAGATCAAAAATCATGCTATAACAAATAGTTAGCCCATCTAGGCCTACCTTTACTTCCATATTCACAAACTCTTCATTGCTTTCTTGAACATATACATCCTTACAATTATACATTACTCAATTTTAACAACTTTACATTAGCAATATTAATTAAACAGAGTGTGGGTCTCATAGCTTAGTGGTTAAGCTTCCATACCCTCTACAGTTAAGGTCAATGGTTCAAGTCTGGCTAGAGGCAAAATTGAAAAATTTTAGCTTTTGTAACCTAATAAGGAGTCTGTAATTGAATATGAAGCTCTGTAGTTAAGTCCAAGTGCAGTACAATAATGGAAATAGGAATTCCCAGAAGGAGACCCAATCATAGAGTGCAGGCACTATGTGTAACAAGCAGTTGTTACAGAAGGTTATAGTTATGGAAAGATTGTTCATATAAGTCCTTTAGGCTAGGGCAACACCAACATTCTTATACTTCCCAATATAGGCAGTACCAACATCCCTGCACCCAACTTGTGGGGTACTTGCTTAGAAGGATAATCAATGGATTGTGCAAATAAGTTTTAATTGTGATCCAAGAAGAGGATTTGATTGGGAGAATAGTCTGACAAGTAATCAAGACTGGAATGGTGAGAGAAGTAGTGAACACAAGGATGGACTGTGATAAAGGATTGGTCTAACCAAAACTTGGAAGCACCTCTGGCACAGCCAAATAATCTAATTATAGAAGGGAAGATCTTGGAGGTAGGCATATAACCTTTTTGTGCAATGTAAAAGTACCAAATCGGGTTCTGGTCATACCTATATGGAAGTCTATGATGAACAAGACTAGGGATTAACCAACCAATGTAAGATAAGATCTGCAAGGTAGTATGGCATCACTGGGGTCAGTGTAACTTCTTAGGCATAACCAAAATTGTTTTGCAGATATTGTCAAATAAGCTGGGAGCTTGCAATACATGGTAGTAAGGTATCACTAGGGTCAGAGGAACTCCCTAGGTATAACCAGAATTGTCCTGTTTATAAGTGCAACAAGTTACAGTCTCTATCATAAAAGGAAGCACCATGTTGGAGGTTAAATGCAGTATTGAGTTACTGTATGATGTTAAGACCTGGAGCATCTGCAGGAACAGCAGCAGCAAGTTTGGCTTAAGATACAGATTGGTCAAAAGACTAATGGTAGCAGCAAATCTGGCTTGAGATACTGGTTCATTGTAGATTCTGGACCATTGTTGGAACACCTTAGAGGAAATTAATAACAGGCAAACCAAAGATGAGAAGATCATAAGGATCAGACATACCCGAGTAGGACCAATTTGGAAGTGATACAGTGATGAAAAGGTGGGAAATGTAGAGAACAAGATAATACTAGATATAGTTAGATTAGAAGGCAGAAGAAACAAGACCAGGTAAAACATATGAGTAGAACATATAAGTATGATTTACAGAAGACAGTACCCTCTGGCATTTGGGATGCTGCATTAAGTTCAGTAGGTATTCTTGTCTGTGTAGCAGTTTAATGTGTGCCATGACCGCAAGTGGTTGCCAAGGTAACTGCATGTAGGCATGCAGCAGAAATGTACTTAAATGCCATAAGGGTAACCAGGTGAAGTCAGTAGTGTTAAATTAGATAGTATATAGTACTAGTAATAATCGATCCTAAATGTAACTATAAATTTGTACTATATCAAATTAAGACTAATAAAAACCAACTGGCATTGTCGCCAAAGTTCAAAAAAAAAAAGTTATTATTAGGGATATAGCAACCTAGTGAAATAAATAAGTTGTCAACCTCCAAGTGACAGGTCTAGAGTTCAAATCCTAGTGATAATAAAAATTTGCAATTCTTTTTGTGTTATAGCTAACTGTTTTCTGTAATTAGTTGAGATAAGATATCTGTAACCCATATCATACCTGTATGACTAGAAGGTCTAAACACTTGTACAATGTTGTATAAGGAAACACAAACTAGTATCAGGTATGTGAACTTAAGATAAGTCCTTAGGCTGTGTAAATCACAAGAACCAGATAAGAAAACAGAAGCCTACTTGGAAGACCTGAGTAAAGAGGTAACCCAAACCTTTAACAGTGCTACTATAAAGACTAGACTTATGAAACAGAGCTAGAACTTGTGAAACTGGGCAAATGTGCCAGTCTTTGAGAAGGGACCAGATGAACCAACTAGGCCATCAGAAATTGGAGTTTTAGAAAAAAAAGATATATACTAGCAAATATGTAAGCCAGAGGTATGGTCTCATTCTATCTTTTCAAGCTATTTGAAATGCAGCTTGATAGAACTTGAATTGAATACCAAAGTAGTAAGAATATGTTGTAAAGTCAGTACCAGGGTTGGAATAAATTCTACAAGAGCATAGTAATTTAATAGTATGCCCTGACCACTAATGTTGGTCTTGTCATAGTGATACCAAGTTATCTGTAAGAATAGAATACTAAAGATTTTGGAAGGTTTAGTACAAGATCAAAGGTTCTCTATGTAAGCAAACTGCCTTAAAGACTTAATGGCCATGGCATATTTTTACTGACATTAGCTAGAGTCATTAGTAAACAGAGGTAGATGAGTGAATATATAAACAGAGTGGTTAAATAAAGAACCTACAAGTGGGTTTTAGGTATAGCAACTAGTATAAAACCTTTGGGCAGACTACTTAAATTAGACAATAACTAAAGTTGTATAAGTAGCTAGTTGTATACTTTCTTCATCATTGCTCCTGTAGTTGTAATACAACCATTAGCCAAATATACTATCAATAAAATCCTAGATCACAAGTACTCATTTTAATATTAAAAAAAAAAATAAAGTTATTATTATAATTATTTAATTAAATATTTATATTTATTTTTTTTATATTATAAATATATTTATTATATAGTTAAAATAGTTTAAATATAGGCAAAAATATATTAGTGATCCATCGTACAATGACCTGTATATAATTAACCAATCAAATTTAAGATTAGCAATTATATAAAATTATTTATTTGTTTACTAATTCTTTTTTTTTATAGTATTGACTTTCTTATTATTTGTTGTTATTGTCATGTTGGCATTTTTGATATTTGTTAATGCTTTGTCAATTGTTAGTGCTTCATTATTTCTTGAAGCTTCATCATTTTTTGAAGCTTTTACTATTTGTTAGTGTTTTATTGTTTTTTGAAGCTTTTGTTAGTTGTTAGTGCTTTATCATTTCTTAAAGCTTTTGTCATTTGTTAGTGCTTTATCATTTGTTAATACTTTATTATTTGTTGATGCTTTTATTGTTTCTTGAAGCTTTTGTTATTTGTTAGTGCTTTGTTGTTTCTTAATGCTTTCATCATTTCTTGAAGCTTTCATCATTTGTTAGTGCTTTGTCATTTCTTGAAGCTTTTATTATTTGTTGGTGCTTTATCATTTTTTAAAGTTTAATTGTTTCTTGAAGCTTTCATCATTTTTTGAAGCTTCATCATTTTTTGAAGTTTTTATTGTTTGTTGGTGCTTCATTGATTCTTGAAGCTTTAGTCATTTCTTGGAACTTTTATTATTTGTTGATGCTTTGTCATTTCTTGGAGCTTCATCATTTCTTAGAGCTTTCATCATTTCTTAAAGCTTTATTATTTTTTGAAGCTTTCATTGTTTGTTAATGCTTTATCATTTCTTGAAGCTTTCATCATTTTTTGAAGCTTTTATTATTTGTTAAAGCTTTTGTCATTTGTTGGTGCTTTATTATTTCTTGGAGCTTTCATTATTTATTGGTACTTTATTGTTTCTTGGAGCTTTTGTTGTTTGTTGATGCTTCATTGTTTGTTGATGCTTTATTGTTTTTTAAAGTTTTTATTGTTTTTTGGTGCTTTGTTGTTTCTTAAAGCTTTTGTCATTTGTTGGTGCTTTATTATTTCTTGAAACTTTTATTGTTTTTTTGATGCTTTTGTTATTTCTTAAAGCTTTTGTTATTTGTTGATGCTTTATTGTTTGTTGATGCTTTATTGTTTTTTGAAGCTTTTATTATTTCTTGAGGCTTTTGTTATTTTCTAGATCTTTTATTATTTGTTAGAGCTTTTATTATTTGTTGATGCTTCATCATTTCTTGAAGCTTTCATTATTTGTTGATGCTTTGTTATTTGTTGATGCTTTATTATTTGTTGGTGCTTCATTATTTTTTAAAGCTTTAATCATTTTTTGGTGCTTTGTTGTTTTTTAGAACTTTCATTATTTGTTAATAGTTTATCATTTTTTGGAGCTTTTATTATTTCTTAGAGCTTTTATTATTTGTTGGTGCTTCATTTCTTAGAGCTTTTATTGTTTGTTGGTGCTTGAAGCTTTATTATTTTTTAGTGTTTTAGCATTTTATTTTTTAGAGAATTTTGGTTTTTTTTTATTTTTTTTTAATCTTGCATTTTTTAGTTGACTTTTTGAATTTTAATTTATTGTTTGATTAAAGTGGTTAGTTTTTTTTTACAAATTGGCTTTTTTGTACATAAACATTTGTTATGCAATGATATAAATATTGTTAGTTTGTTGTAGTTTAATGTTTGCTATATAATTATATTGGTTTTTTTTTTTTAATAAATAAAGATCTTTTTTTAAAAAAAATAAAAGTATTTGTCATTATGTAATAGCAATAATTTTTTTTTAAAAAAATTATTTTTATTACAAAATGATTTTTTTTTTTAAAAAAAAATTATTATTGCATGACAATAATTTTTTTATTAAATAACAATTTTCTAATATAATTATATAATAATTTTTTAGTATGTAATTGATTTTGATTGGTTAATTACAGGTTGCTATTATGATAGATCACTATAAAATAATACCCTTAAATATATATTAAATATATTTAAAATATATAATAATTATATAATTACTTTTTTTTTTGAACTTTGTAACAATGCTAATTGGTTTATTAGTTTTAATTTAATATAATACAAATTTTATAGTTACATTTTTAGGATCAATTATTACTAGTACTATATACTATCTAATTTTATACTACTGACTTCATCTGGTTACCCTTATAGCATCTAGGTGCATGTCCACTGCATGTCTGCATGCAGTTATCTTAACAACTACTTGTAGTTAAGGCATATCATTAAACCATTATACAAACAAAAATACTTATTAAACTTAATATGATATCTTAAATGCCAAGAGTACTGTCTTCTGTAAATTATACCTATATATCCTACTTACATGTTTTAACTGATCTTGTTTTTTCTGTCTCTTAATCTAACTATATTTAGTATTATCTTGTTCCCTATATTTCTTACTTTTTTGTTACTATATCACTTTCAAATTGGTTCTACTTGAGTATATTTGAACTTTATAATCTTTCTATCTTTGGTATGCCTATTATTGATTCCTCTAAGGTGTTCTGACAATGGTTCAGGATCTGCAATAAACCTGTATCTCAAGCCAGATCTGCTGCTACTATTGGACTTTTAACCAATCTGTATCTCAAGCCAAGTCTGCTGCTGCCATTTTTGCAAATACCCTATGTTTTAACATCATACAGTAACTCAATGCTGCATTTAACCTTCAACATAGTGTTCTCTTCTATGATAAGAACTGAGACTTGTTGTGCTTACAAACAGGACAATTCTGGTTATACATAAAGAGTTCTTCTGACTCTAGTAATACCATACTATCATATATTGTAAGCTTTTAGCTTATTCGATAATATTTGCAAAACAATTCTAGTTATACCCTAGAGAGTTACACTAACCCCAGTGATGTCATACTATCTTGCAGAACTTATCTTATATTGGTTGGTTGATCTCAGTCTTATTCATCATAGACTTTTATATAGATATGACCAGAAACTCAATTTGATACTTTTACATTGTACAAGGAAGTTATACACCAACCTCCAAGATTCTCTCTTCTATAATTAGATTATTTAACTGTGCTAGAGGTGCTTCCAATTTTTGGTTAGACCAATCCTTTATCATAGCCCATCACTGTATTCACCACTTCTCTTATCATTCCAGTCTTAATTACTTTCAGAATACTCTCCCAATCAAATCTTCTTCTTAAATCCTAATTAAGACTTATTTGTACAATCTGTTAATTATCCTTTCAAGCAAGTACCTCACAAGTTGGATGCAAAGATATTGGTACTGCCTATATTAGGAAGTATAAGGATGTTGGTATTGCTCTAGTCTAAAGAACTTACATATGTAATCTTTTCATAATCATAACCTTTTGTAACAATCATTTATTATACATAGTGTCTGTATTTCATAATTAGATCTCTTTTTGGAAATTCCTATTTCCATTATTGTACTGTATCTGGACTTAACTACAGAGCTTCACATTCAATTACAGGCTTCTTATTAGGTTACAGAAGCTAAAATTTTTCAATTTTGCCTTCAGCTGGACTTGAACTATTGACCTTAATTGTGAAGGATATGAAAGCTTAACCACTAAGCTATAAGACCTACACCCTATTATATAGTTACTAATAACTTAATAGTTTCAAAATATTATATATTTTTATTATATTTTTGTAATATATTTATATTAAATTTAGTATTTTTTAAATAACAATAATTTTTTTTTTTTTTTTAGTATTAAGATGACCTTTTGGGTTTTTTGATTTTATTTAATAATAATAAATATGATTTAGTGAACTACTACAGAAAGAGCATACAATTGGCTATACATATAACTTTTCTATATTATCTATTTGAGAAGTTTACCTAAAGGTTTCCTATCAATTGTAAACTCTCTAAATCTGCAAATCTGTTAGCTTCACTAGATTATATCTGATATTTAGATTATTGTCTCAATTTTAGGACTATTTTATTCTCAAAGTAAACTCCTTAAAGTCTTCTGTATTCATTTTTATAGCTGATCTAAATATTATTATGACAGAACCAATACTTACAGTCAAAACTTAACCATTAAACCACTATGCTTTTGTAGAGTTTACTTAGATCCTAGCATCTACTTTATAGCATAACTATGATATAGTTATACCTTTATATAGTTACCTTTCATATAATCACAAACTCTATATAATTACACAATTTTATGTACTAATTATTTTATTATTAAAAACTCCTCTTTATAATCACAAATAGCTTATAATCACTAACACATTTTTTTAGAATTAGTTAAATGATTTTGATAATAAACCTATCTCTTTATAATCATATTTATATATATTCATAAATAGTTTCTATATAGACAAATCAAATATTTATTAATTAAATTGATCTTTATATACTAAGTAAAGTTGTTCAGGAGAACAAAATACATATATTCTAAAGTTTTTATACAAATTGGTTAATATTTTATTAGAATATTTTTTTATTTTATATATGTGTAAATAGAATTAAAAATTTTAATTTTTTTTAGTAGAAATGTAAAATAAAGAAGTGCATTAATAAAATTTGACTAATTTATATGAAAATTTCAGAATAAATGCAATTTACTCTTCTAAACAATTTTATTTATTGTATAAAAGTCAATTTATTTAGTAAATATTTTATTTCTATATATAATAATGATTGGTGATTATATATAAAAATTTTTTTAAAAAATTATATATATAATCATCAATCATTATTATATATAGAAGTCAAATATTTACTAAGTAAATTAATTTTTATAAAATAAATAAAGTTGTTCAGAAGCATAAATTGCATTTATCTTGAAATTTTCATGTAAATCTGTCAAATTTTCATTAATGTACTTCTTTATTTTATGTTTTTACTAAAAAAAATTAAAATTTTTAATTTTATTTGCACATATATAAAATAAAAAAAAACATACTAATAAAAGGTTAACTAATTTGTATAAAAACTTTATAATATATGTATTTTGTTCTTTTGAACAACTTTACTTAGTGTATAAAGATTAATTTAATTAATAAATATTTGACTTGTCTATATAGAAACTATTTATAATTATTATCTAAAAGTTTTTAAATTAATTTTTATTATATTTTAGAGATGTGGCAACCTAGTGAAGTGGTCAGTTTGTCAACCTCCCAAGTGGTAGATTGGGTGTTCAAATCCCATCGATGGCAAAAATTTGGATAATCACCTATGTAATATTCATATTACAGCAACTGTTACT